CAAAGTTAATAATGATAAGTGCAACTTATTTGTAGCACTGCCGTTTAGGTCATATTGGTGTAAAGCGCATGAAGAAACTCCATACTGATGGGCTTTTAGAATCACTTGATTATGAATCAGTTGATGCTTGCGAACCATGCCTCATGGGCAAGATGACTAAGACTCTGTTCTTCGGAACAATGAAGCGAGCAATAGATTTGTTGGAAATCATACATACTGATGTATGTGGTCCGATGAATATTAAGGCTCGCGACAGGTATCATTATTTTCTGATCTTCACAGATGATTTGAGCAGATATGAGTATATCTACTTGATGAAACATAAGTCTGAAACATTTGAAAAGTTCAACGAATTTCAGAGTGAAGTGAAAAATCATCGTAACAAGAAAATAAAGTTTCTATGATCTGATCGTAGAGAAGAGTATTTGAGTTACGAGTTTGGCCTTCAGTTAAAAACAATGTGAAATAGTTTCACTACTCATGCCACCTAGAATACCACAATGTAATGGTGTGTCCGAACGTCATAACCGTACTTTATTAGATATGGTGCGATCTATGATGTCTCTTACCGATCTACCACTATCGTTTTGGGGTTATGCATTAGAGACAGCTGCATTCACGTTAAATAGGGCACCATCTAAATCCGTTGAGACGACACCGTGTGAACTATGGTTTGGCAAGAAACCTAAGCTGTCGTTTCTTAAATTTGGGGTTGCGATGCTTATATGAAAAAGTTTCATCCTGATAAAACTCAAATCGGAGAAGTGCGTCTTCATAGGATATCCAAAGGAAACTATTGGATACACCTTCTATCACAGATCCGAAGGCAAGACTTTTGTTGCTAAATTCGGAAACTTTCTGGAGAAGGAGTTTCTCTCAAAAGAAGTGAGTGGAAGGAAAGTAGAACTTGACGAGGTAACTGTACCTGCTCCCTTATTGGAAAGTAGTACATCACAAAAAACTGTTTCTGTGACACCTACACCAGTTAGTGAGGAAGCTAATGATGATAATCATGAAACTTCAGAACAAGATACTACTGAACCTCGTAGATCAACCAGAGTAAGATCCGCGCCAGAGTGGTACGGTAATCCTGTCCTGGAAGTCATGCTACTAGATCATGATGAACCTACGAACTATGAAGAAGCGATGGTAAGCCCAGATTCCGCAAAATGACTTGAGGCCATGAAAACTGAGATGGGATCCATGTATGAGAACAAAGTATGGACTTTGGTTGACTTGCCCGATGATCGGCAAGCAATTGAGAATAAATGGATCTTCAAGAGGAAGACGGACGCTGATAGTAGTGTTACTATCTACAAAGCTAGAATTGTCGCAAAAGTTTTTCGACAAGTTCAAGGTGTTGACTACGATGAGAGTTTCTCACTCGTATCTATGCTTAAGTTTGTCCGAATCATGTTAGCAATTGCCGCATTTTATGAAATCTGGCAAATGGATAAACAAAACTGCATTCCTTAATAGATTTATTAAAGAAGAGTTGTATATGATGCAACCAGAAGTTTTTGTCAATCCTAAAGGTGTTAACAAAATATGCAAAGTCCAGCGATCCATCTATGGACTGGTGTAAGCATCTCAGAGTTGGAATATATGCTTTGATAAGTTGATCAAAGCATATAGTTTTATACAGACTTGCGGTGAAGCCTGTATTTACAAGAAAGTGAGTGGGAGCACTACAGCATTTCTGATAAGTATATGTGAATGACATATTGTTGATCGGAAATAATGTAGAATTATTCTGCAAAGCATAAAGGAGTGTTTGAAAGGAGTTTTTCAAAGAAAGACTTTGGTGAAGCTACTTACATATTGAGCTTCAAGATCTATAGAGATAGATCAAGACGCTTGATAAGTTTTTTCAATGAGTACATACCTTGACAAGATTTTGAAGTAGTTCAAAATGGAGCAGACAAAGAAAGAGTTCTTGCCTGTATTACAAGGTGTGAAGTTGAGTAAGACTCAAAACCCGACCACGGCAGAAGATAGAAAGAGAATGAAAGTCATTCCCTATGCCTCAGTCATAGGTTCTATAAAGTATGCCATGCTGTATACCAGATCTATTGTATGCCCTACCACTGATTTGGCAAGGGAGTACAATAGTGATCTAGGAGTAGATCACTCGACAGCGGTCAGAATTATCCTTAGTGAAATAAGGATATGTTTCTCGATTATGGACGTAAAAAAAAGGTTCGCTGTAAAGGGTTACGTCGATGCAAGTTTTGACACTGATCTGGATGACTCCAAGTCTCGATCTAGATACATATTGAAAGTGGGAGCAATTAGCTAGAGTAGCTCCGTGCAGAACATTGTAGACATAGAAAATTGCAAAATACATAACGGATCTGAATGTGAAAGACTGTTGACTAAGATTCTCCCACAAGCAAAATATGATCACACCTTAGTACTCTTTGGGTGTTAATCACATATCGATGTGAACTAGATTACCGAATCTAGTAAACCCTTTGGGTGTTGGTCACATGGCGATGTGAACTATGGGTGTTAATCACATGATGATGTGAACTATCGATGTTAATCACATGGTGATCTAGATTATTGACTCTAGTGCAAGTGGGAGACTGAAGGAAATATGCCCTAGAGGCAATAATAAAGTTATTATTTATTTCCTCATATCATGATAAATGTTTATTATTCATGCTAGAATTGTATTAACCGGAAACATGATACATGTGTGAATACATAGACAAACATATAGTCACTAGTATGCCTCTACTTGACTAGCTCATTAATCAAAGATGGTTATGTTTCCTAACCATTGACATGTGTTGTCATTTGATTAATGGGATCACATCATTAGGAGAATGAGGTGATTGACATGACCCATCCCGTTAGCTTAGCACTTGATCGTTTAGTATTCTGCTATTGCTTCCTTCATGACTTATACATGTTCCTGTAACTATGAGAATTGTGTAACTCCCGTTTACCGGAGGAACACTTTGGGTACTACCAAACGTCACAGCGTAACTGGGTGATTATAAAGGAGTACTACAGGTGTCTCCGAAGGTACATGTTGAGTTAGCATAATTCGAGATTAGGTTTTGTCACTCCGATTGTCGGAGAGGTATCTCTGGTCCCTCTCGGCAATGCTCATCACCTAAGCCTTGCAAGCATGTAACTAATGAGTTAGTTATAAGATGAAGTATTACAGAACGAGTAAAGAGACTTGTCAATAACGAGATTGAACTAGGTATTGGATACCGACGATCGAATCTCGGACAAGTAACATACCGATGACAAAGGGAACAACGTATGTTGTTATGCGGTTTGACCGATAAAGATCTTCGTAGAATATGTAGGAACCAATATGGGCATCCAGGTCCCGCTATTGGTTATTGACCAGAGATGTGTCTCAGTCATGTCTACATCATTCTCGAACCGTAGGGTCCGCACGCTTAAGGTTTCGATGACAGTTATATTATGAGTTTATGTATTTTGATGTACCGAAGGTTGTTCGGAGTCCCGGATATGATTACGGACATGACGAGGAGTCTCGAAATGGTCGAGACATAAAGATTGATATATTGGACGGATATATTTGGACACCGAAAAGGTTCCGGAGAAGTTTGGAGCCCCGGGAGGTTACCGGAACCCCTCGGGAGGTATATGGGCCTTATTGGGCCCATGTAGGAGGAAGAGAGAAGGAGCAAGGGAAGGGGGCGCGCCCCCAAGCCCAATCCGAATTGGGGAAGGGGGCCGGCCCCCCCTTTCCTTTCTCCTTCCCCCTCTTCCTATTACTACTACTAGTACTACTTCCTAATACTAGTACTCTTTCCTTCCCCCTCCAAATAAGATAAGGAAAAGAGAGGGAAACCTACTTGGAGTAGGTTTCCCCCTCCTCATGGCGCGCCCCCCTAGGGCCGGCCACCTCCTCCCTCCCTCCTTTATATACGGGGGTAGGGGGGCACCCTAGAACACACAAGTTGATCATTGATCGTTCCTTAGCCGTGTGCGGTGCCCCCCTCCACGATATTACACCTCGGTCATATTGTAGCGGTGCTTAGGCGAAGCCCTGCAACAGGAGAACATCAAGATCGTCACCACGCCGTCGTGCTGACGGAACTCCCCCTCGGCGCCTCTGCTGGATCGGAGATCGAGGGTGCGTCATCGAGCTGTACGCGTGTCAAGAACTCGGAGGTGCCGGAGTAACGGTAATTGGATCGGTTGAACCGAAGGATGTACGACTACTTCCTCTACGTTGCATCAACGCTTCCGCTTCGGTCTACGAGGGTACGTAGACAACACTCTCCCCTCGTTGCTATATCATCACCATGATCTTGTGTGTGCGTAGGAAATTTTTTGAAATTACTACGTTCCCCAACACGTGGTACGTCCAGCAACTCTCTGGCTCCGTCTTGCGTTTGATGTGTTGGACACATTGTCCGACCGGATTTTTTGTGATCTTGTTAGGGAAAATGATGGATTCTGATGCTTCGTCGGAAGACGCCAGAAATCTCAGAAGATCAAGATGCGGCTCAGCTGATGAACTTTCTGCAGATGTATTAGAATCTTTGAGATGAGTGGGTGCACACACAACTACTCAATTATCTTGTGGAGTACATATGGACCCACAATCGCAACCAAGGAGCCAATGTTTGAGTTTGGCACTTAAAGTAAATTTATGTAAACACTATCTATGCTTCGTACCAACATTTGTTATTTACATGCAGCATTGGCTTGTACGATCGACGTGCATGTATTTGCATGGATCTAAGAGTCCGGATTTAAGATATGTGGATGCCGGAACAGAAATACGAGGATCTATTTGCATGCATACGCGGACGTATAGGGGGTCAGATTTGTTAAGTCCGGGTGTAGATCTAACCTGAACAGAAACGCAGCACATGACGGCCCAAGACTTTTTTCTTGTCGAGAGAAACATAATAAACAAACTAACCTGAGTAGTTCCATTAAAAAGGACTCCCGGCTCCACCGACCGGCAGGCCGCAGCCACTGCTTCTCTACTGGATCTGATGGAAGAAACTTCGCTGGAGGCCGCGATTGGGTGGCTGGTGCAGGCCATCTATGCCGGCCTCCTAGTTGGCGGCGAGCTCGATGGTTGGATTCGCCGGGCTGGGCTCGCGGATGACATCGAGAGGCTCAGATCTGAGGTGGAGGGAGTCGAGATGGTCGTCTCTGCTGTCAAGGGGAGGGCGATCGGGAACCAGCCGCTGGCCCGGTCGCTCGCCCGCATCAGGGAGCTGCTCTACGGCGCGGAAGATCTGGTGGACGAGCTCCACTACTGGAGGCTCCAGCAGCAGCTGGAATTGGAAGGAGGTAAGCCCCCTAGATCCATCCGTTTTCTTTACTTCGCGTACTGATTTGTTAAGTTTGACCGAATTATATTAACAAATATCAACACCTACAATACCAAATAAGTATAATATGAAAAATTATTGCTTGATGGATCATGGATCTGATGATGTTAATTTGATATATTGTGAATGTTGATAAGTTTTTCTATAACTTGGTCAAACTTCAAAAACTTTGACTCAGGGAAAACATAGTATGCAAAGTAAAACGAAACGGAGGGAGCACAAAATATATGGATAAACAGCTCAGGAGTTAAATTTCTGCCCATTCTCAAAGAAAGAGAGTTAAATTTTCGTTGCATATTTTCTTTTGGCACAGGCACAAGGCATGACCTTGACGAAACGGATGCACATGGATCACTGCAAGTGGAGAGATCGACTGGGAGTAGCAGTGTTGGCGGATTACGGTCCGAGTCCTGGGGACACTTTGATATCGAGGAATTTGTTGAAAATGGAGGGCCTGTCAAAGCAATATGTAAACACTGCCGTGCAGTGGTTGTGTGCACAACTGACAAGGGGACACCTATTTTGTGCAAGCATCTCAAGAGTAAAAGTTGTAAGAAGAAACGTGGAGCAAGTGACCCTTCAAGGTAACTGGGAAATTTATATCTTCATGGGTGGTCAGCACATTTGAAGAGTCTTCTGTATACATCTATGGTGGTTCTAACAGCCAATCCACCATCTTTTTTTTTCTTATTGCAGCACTGGTGATGCTACTGCAAGTGCTACTTCTACTGCAACTGATGGTATTTCATCCACCAGAAACATGAGAGGGTCTGAGGTTGAGGAGCCAAAACACGGCACCAGATCCGACACATACACTTGGGACAAGGTCACCTTTTCCAATAGGATAAAAGACATAACTCATCAGTTGCAAGGCATCCGAGGAGATGTGAGAGCAGCTCTAATGATACTTGGGTCAGACTCTAGTGCAAGTTCAAACCACCATGTAGAACATCCACACCGTAGAACATCAAGTCTTGTTCAGGGAAAAGTTTATGGGAGAGATTATGAGAAGGCAGAAATCATACGGCTGATAAAAGGACACAAATTATCTAGCAGTGTAACAGTTCTGACTGTTTTAGGCATTGGTGGGGTTGGGAAGACAACCCTTGCTCAACTGGTATACAACGATCCATCTGTGGAAAGTCAATTTGACCACAGAATATGGATTTCAGTGTCCAACAAATTTGATGAAACGAGAATCTCAAGAGAGATGTTGGATTTTGTCTCCCAAGGAACACATGAAGGGCTGTACAGCTTTGCCAGGCTTCAGGAGGTCTTGAGAGGTTATGTTAAATCAAAGAGGGTTCTACTTGTTTTAGATGATGTCTGGGATGACATGAATGATTGCCAGTGGAACCAACTATTAGCCCCTTTCAAATCTGACAATGCAAAAGGCAATATCATACTTGTGACAACTAGAAAACCATCTGTTGCAAAAAGGAGAGGTACGGTTGAACCAATTAAGTTACATGGTTTGAAAGAAGATGATTTTTGGATATTGTTTAAAGCGTGTGTGTTTGGTGATGAGAACTATGAAGTGAAAGGTAGTCTTAGGACTTTGGCATGGCAGATAATAGAGAAGTTGAAAGGAAACCCGCTAGCTGCAGAAACTGCAGGGGCATTATTAAGACAGCATCTTACCAGTGAACATTGGAGTAACATTCTGAAGAACGAAGATTGGAAATCCCTGCAACTCAGAAGAGGCATTATGCCTACTTTGAAGCTTTGTTATGATCAACTGCCCTACCATTTACAACAATGCTTCTCATATTGTGCTATATTCCCTTGCAATTATCGGTTTCTCGCTGAGGAGATAGTTCGTATTTGGATTTCACAGGGATTTGTGAAGTGTAGTCATTCAGGTATGAGATTGGATGAGATAGGACGGCTCTATCTGACTAATTTAGTGAACCTGGGCTTCTTTCAGCAGATTGAAGGAGGCTACTCTTCAAACAATCAAACTACTTATGTTATGTGTGGTCTTATGCATGATTTCGCAAGGGTAATTTCAAGAGCTGAGTGTGCAACTTTGGATGCTCTACAGTGCAATGAAATTTCATCAACTGTGCTACATTTGTCAATAGTAACTGGTCGTGTGTATTGGTATGATGAGAAGTTTCAACAGATATTGCGAAATACATTGAAAAAAGTTAAAAATTTGAGATCATTGGTCTTAATTGGACAGTACGACTCCCAATTGTTCCAACAAGTATTTGAGAAGGCACACAATTTGCGTCTGTTACAAGTATCTGCAACTGCTGGGTCTCATTCCTTCCTATGCGGTTTGGTAAATCCTACACATCTTCGGTATCTAAACCTACAGGATGCTCATGTTTGGCCGGGAGATTTACCACAAGTTTTGAGCAAGTTTCTCCACCTTCAAGTATTAGAAGTTGGCTTATGCCGTGATACTTCGTTTACCCTTGAGCGGATGGTTAATCTAGGGGATTGTGGTGAAAGGCTTATATTTCCATCTCTAGAAAGACTTCCGTTTCTTACGACGTTCAAGTTGAGCAACCTGCGGAAAATTAGAGAAGTATCAGTTCCATCATTGCAGGAGCTGATTTTAGTTGAAATGCCAGAGTTGGAGAGATGCACCTGCACGTCCCTAGGGGATTTGAACTCTAGTTTAAGGGTACTGGAGATCCGGAGCTGCCCTGCACTCAAGGTGTTCGATCTGTTTGAGAAAGGTCATAACTTTGTTGAGCAGCCATCATTGTATGAAGGTCATAACTACGAAACTGGGTGGAAGCTATGGTTGCCCGGTCTTAGAGTACTCACAGTAATCAATTGTCCTCATTTACTGATGCCGTGTCTCCTACCACATTCAACTAATGTTTCTAGACTGCACATCGACGGAGTTCCAACACTTCTGAAGATGGAGGGATCGTCCACAGAAAATCTAGAAATTTCTCCAAATAGTCGATCTGGTGAGAATTCCGATGAGACAGTGAGATTGGATGGAAAAATATTGGCATTCCATAATTGGGGGGACCTAAAATCCTTGAGCATATCATGTTGTGGAAACCTAACATCTATTTCATTTCGAAGTCTTAATCAGCTCTTCTCTTTAAGCGATCTCCGTATAGTAGGGTGCAGAAAACTTTTCTCTTCAGATGTTCGGCCAGAGGTTACCGATGAATATGCGATAGGTGCATATCGGTTTGGCCTCCGGTGTCTCAGAAGTCTCTATATTAGTTCATCAGGAATAACGGGGAAGTGGTTATCTTTGATGTTGCAACATGCGCAGATCCTGAAGGAATTGTTCTTAAATGACTGCCCTCAATTTACACAGTTACAGATTGAAGAGGAAGAGAACAGTCAACCAAATTTTATCTCAGCCCCAGAGGCTTCATCAAGCTGGGGTCCAGATGGACTTTTGTGCATTCCATTAAATCTCACCTCCTCTCTAGAAAAGATAGCTATTTCTCGAAGCCCTTATTTGAGATTTTACGGGAACAAGGAAGACTTTGCTGGATTTACCTCCCTGCAGGAGCTAATAATTCGATGCTGTCCTGGGCTGCTCTCATCCTTGGCGCATAATGAAGGAAATGATGTCCAGGCAAACAGAACATGGCTTCTTCCACAGCCACTTGGACAAGTTGTGATCAGTAACTATGACCACAAAACACTATCACTCTGCTTCATGGGTAATCTCACCTGTCTCAGAAAATTGGAAGTATTGGAAAGCCCAGGCTTGGAATCTCTACAGCTGCATTCCTGCACATCGCTTGAAGATTTGAGAATTCGTGAATGCAAACAGCTTGCCACAGTAAAGGGAATGCAATCCCTTGTGAACCTCATGAATTTGGAAGTACAAGAAAACCCTAGCTTGGTATCTCTACAGTTGCATTCCTGCAGGTCGCTGGAAGATCTGAGAATTGAAAAATGTGAATCACTCATCGCACTAGAGGGCTTGCAATCCCTTGTGAACCTCAGAAATTTGGCCCTACTCAACTCCCCTGGCTTGCCTCCATATTTGGAACGTTTGTTGGGGCACTATGAGTTGTGCCCTCGACTCGAAAGTCTTCACATTGATGACTTGTCTCTCCTTAACATGTCACTGTGCAAAGGCCTCACTTGCCTCCAATGCCTACGACTTGAGAAGCTGGAACGGGGAGGGACAAGACTAACAGATGAGCAAGAGAGAGCGCTACTGCTCCTCAGGTCCCTGCAAGACCTTGAATTTCAAGATTGTTTAAACCTCGTACATCTTCCTGCGAGACTGCACAGCCTTCCTTCCCTCAAGACATTGATGATCGTTTGTTGTGAAGACATCCCAAGGCTGCCTAAGAAGGGCCTCCCATCTTCGCTGGAACGGCTAGTGATATACGATTGCAGTACTGAGCTAAGAAAACAGTGTGAATCGCTAACAAGAGGCAAGCTAAGGGTTACGATGAATGACTGAATTTTGTGCAGCGAGATGCAGAAACATCTTTATTTCAAGATTCAAGACGCATGTCCTTGTTCGGGGATATGTGCTGCAGCTCACCGCTCGATTTACAACTGTTCTACCATTGATCATGTTATCTTGAGAATTGACATAACTCAGCGTCGTGCTAAAATGAGCAGTCTCTCTGCAAGCATTTGAAGATGTTGAACATATTGTTGCTGAAGTACCCATCTTTAGGATCACGACATATACCGTATAATTATAAGGTATTGGAGAGAGTGCTCAGGTCATCCCTGTTCCTCCTGGGCGACCTGTTATGTAACCTATGTTTGAAGAAATAAATTATGCTAGACATATTTATGTACTTTTATGAGTATCAAATACTTGTGTTATTCTGCAGAGTTTTGATTTCACACCAGAACCTCATCCTCTGGTAATTTTTGTCTTATTCTGCAGAGTTTTGGTGTCTCATAATCTCATCTCTGCTATTAACATGTTCGGATTTCTGGAAGCAAACTGGTAATTTTTGCTCTATTATTGCTGTCATGCCAACTAAAAACAGTCAACAGTTTCTGGGCCAGTAGGTAGGTGTGGCCCGAGTGCTTTGTAATTGTAAACTGGATGGTGTGGTTTCATCAAATGGAATCGGGGTGAGAGCCCTTTTGATCTAAAAAAGGAAAAGAGCAGTCAACAGGTAACCCTATCTGTTTCATTATTTGTTATTCAGTCTCATACTGTGGACTGAAATAGCTGATTAATGACTGCATGCAGAAGATGCATCCACAGATGCATGTGGCCTCGATGCCTTTATGCAGCTGGCTATTGCCGTTTTACTTAGTAACTATGCTCGCGTTCGCCCTTACATATGGTGGTAGTTCGTGCAATTGCAATACCCTAGCACTTAACCATGGATACCATGATCGCTTTGTTGAATGATGATTGTTGGAATAAGTTCTATGTTTATTTCTCCTTGCGAATAATTTGTCTGTATTGCAATTTTTTTTGTTTAAAAGTGTGCTTTGGGCTTTTTTGGCATTTGGAAAACTACAGGCCTGGCACTTCACTTATGTGGATCTGCTTTTGTTTTGTAATGCTTGAATGCCTAACAATTGGCTTGGGAGCTTTTGTTTATCTCCACTCAATGATGAAATTGTCTGTATGTAAGGCAACTTTCTCATAATGAGATAATGCTGTTAAGGATGTACAGCTCGGAAATTCATACTGGATTTATGTCATTTCGTAGACTGAAAATTTTCTGAATTCCTTCCACCTGAAATAGAAGACTTTTTATGGTGTCAGTTAGTAAGCTAGCTATCTGAACACTGTAGAACATGTTGAGACAATATTAACCTATTAAAGGACCAGTATTCGTTTTGTTACATCAACTAACAGTTATGTCACTGGATTGCCCTATTATAATCTTGATTTTATTTCCTAACTTAACTTTGCTTCGCTGAAAGCAGGTTTGAGTACTTTATAAGCAGCAAATGCCACCAGGGAATGCTCCATGTTGTAAGAAATTTGTGAACTCTGAACCTAATCAAGTGCTTCTAACACAAGGTACTATATAGGTACCTGATATTTGGAAACTGTCAAATCCCTTTACCTGCTCACACAATATCCCTGAAACAGCAACTGTTCCACTGGTTTTTTGAAACAGCAACAGTTACAATGAAGAAAAACCCATCACTGGTTTGTCACTGCCAAAGGTGGGTGCAGGAGATGATGATGATGCGCTGCTAATATTGGACATGCCAGGGGTAAGCTCATTTTCATAATCAAGAAAGAGAGAATTCCTTATTTGTTAACGTATAACTTTGTATAGATCTCGCGTATTCCGTTTGCATACGGTTGTACATATACGTGTATAGGGTTTATTTCTTGGTCTCCAAGACTTGTAACTCTACTATAAATATATGAGCCGATCGCCCCTTGAGAGGCGTCTTCCCTCAAACTATTTCACGTTTATATGGTATCAGCCCTACATCCTAAAACCTAGCTTCCGCCGCCACCGAAACCCTAAGCCGCCGCCGCCATCCTCCCTCCGCGCCGCCGCAGCTCCTCCCTCCTCCCCAGGCCGCCGCCATGTCGACCTCCCCCTCCACTTCCTCTGCACTTGGGGCCTCCACCTCATCGACGCTCCAGACGCAGACTGCCGGGGCCATGATCTCGTCCGTTGCATCGCCGGCGTCCCAGGCCGTCCATGTCGCCAGCGTCAAGACGCATGTCCCCGTCGTCCTCGACCTCCAGAAGTCCAACTACGCCAAGTGGCGTATGCTCATCACCGTCCTCCTCGGCAAGTACGACCTCACCGGCCACATCTCCGTCGTCACGCCGCCGGATGCCCGCTCGGCGGACTGGCAGCGTCAGGACTTCGTCGTGCGCTCGTGGATCTACGGCTCCATCAGCGAGGACATCCTCGACACAATCATGGCCCAAGATCAGACCGCGTACGAGGCCTATGCGCTGATCCGGAACCTCTTCCTCGACAATCAGCTCTCCCGCGCCGTCTACCTCGAGGCGGAGTTCCGGGCCCTCGTCCAAGGCGACCTCACCATCACCGCCTACTGCCATCGCCTGAAGGCCCTCTCCGACGCGCTCGCGGACGTGGGGCAACCCGTGACCGACCAAACCCTGGTCCTCACCTGTCTCCGGGGGCTCAACCCCCGCTTCTCCGACATCACCACCCTCGTCACGATGCAGGTTCCGGCCCCCACCTTCCTGCAGACCCGCTCCATTCTTCTCCTCCGCGAGAACCAGCTCGCCAACGCCGCCTCGGGCGGCCCCATGCCGTCCCAAGTCGCACTCTACGGCAACACCACCGGCTCCTCCAACGGTGGCAATTCCGGTGGCAATGGAGGCCAAGGTGGCCGCTGGTTGAAGAAGAAGAAGAACGGCGGCGGGAGCGGCGCCAACTACAACCATGCCAACCCTGCCGCCGCGCCCGGTCCGTGGATCTGCTTCAACCCCTACACTGGGCAGACACAACAGATGCAGCCCACCTGGCGCCCCTACGGCGCTCCGGCCGCTGCCGCCGGGGGCGCCGGCCTCCTCGGACCAGCCCCGCGGTCCACCGCCCCGGCACCGCTGTCCCGCCAGTCCACCTGGGTGCCCCCAGGCCAGGTCTCCTACACGACCTAGCTGGTGCCCCTGCATGGCCAGGCGTGGGGCACCAACCCGCCTCCACCCGCGGTGCCCTACCACCCTGCCGGCTCCACTCCGGCTACTGCATGGGACTGCTCCGCCCTCGTCGCCGCCCTCAACGCCATCGCTGGGCCCTCTGCCGCCGGCTCCTCCACGCCGGGTGCTTGGGTGATGGACTCCGGCGCCACCTCGCACATGGTCTCCGACCCCGGTATACTCTCCACTTCCTCCCATCCTCCTCCCTCTCTTCGCGTCATTGTCGGCAATGGTGTTCCCCTTCCTATCACCGCCACCGGCCACGTCACTCTCCACACACCTAGTCACACATTTTATCTCAACAATGTTCTCGTTGTTCTAGATATCATCAAAAACCTCCTTTCTACTCGTCAATTTACAATTGATAATTCTGTTTCTGTGGAATATGACCCATGTGGTTTTTCTATTAAGGATCTGCACACTCGGCGCGAGATCATTCGCTGCAGTAGCCCCGGACCGCTCTACGAGTTCAACGCCAACACCAACCCCACCACCTCCCCGTTTGGACTCGTCGCCACCACCACCACATCGGAGCTATGGCATCGTCGCTTAGGACATCCCGGTCGTGACTCTATGTCACATTTATCTTCAGAATTTGCTATTCCATGCAATAAAAGTACTCAAGTGTGTCATGCATGCCAACTTGGCAAGCACGTGCATTTACCTTTTTCTAGATCATCAACAGTTTGTGTTGCTCCGTTTCAATTACTTCATTGCGATTTATGGACCTTACCTGTTGCTACTAATTTTGTTTCAAATATTACCTTGTCATTGTTGATGACTTCTCTCATTTTATGTGGACGTTTCCCCTTCACCGGAAATCCGACACATGTGATATTCTCATCAATTTTGTTGCATACGCACGCACACAGTTCAACCTTCCCGTCATATCCTTCCAGACCGATAATGGTACCGAGTTCGTCAACTCTACCTTCATCGAGTTCCTTGCACGCAACGGTATACACCTTCACATGTCCTGCCCATACACTTCCCCTCAAAACGGCAAGGCCGAACGAGCACTTCGCACGCTCAACAACATTACCCGCACCTTGCTGTTCCAAGCTTATATGCCCCCTGCGTACTGGGCCGAGGCCCTTGCCGTCGCAACCTTCTTGCTAAACCGTCGTCCAAGCCAAGCCTTGGCCTTCCGGATCCCGTATACCCTCCTCTACCAAAAACCCCCCTCCTTCTCCGACCTACGTGTTTTCGGGTGCCTATGCTACCCCAACTAGTCTGCCACGGCACCTCATAAACTCGCCCCTCGCTCCACCACATGCGTCTTTCTTGGGTACCCTGCATCGCATCGCGGCTATCGGTGCCTCGACTTAACGACACGCCGCATCATCATCTCACGACATGTCGTTTTTGACGAACACACCTTTCCTTTCGCCACCACTCGAACCGCTCAGTCTCCGGACGATCTCAATTTTCTTCTCGACCTGGTCGCCATGCAGCCAGCTCCCGCGGTCGTCGTGCCTCCCGCAGGCCAGCCCAACATGGCGCCGGCCTCCTCGGCCCAGCCCGACATGCATGGCTCGGGGCCTTCCACCCCGACGTCGATCGCCACAGCACCCGCCTCACCCGCGCCGCTCTCGGCTGCGTCACCATCCCCGTCCCCTTCTCCACCACCACCACCACCACCCCCTCCTCCTTCTCGTCGCTCTCGCGACAGCACCGCCTCCACCACCAACACTCACACCATGCTCACTCGCGCCAAGCGTGGTATTTTTCAGCCCATTAATAAACTTAATCTATCGGCTGAACACTCCTCTCTCTCTCCTATTCCCAAAACATATCGCTCTGCTCTCCAGGATCCCCTTTGGCGTGCTGCCATG